TTCAGGTCGACCCAGACTTAAATGGGTCCGAGGATATTTCATGGTAAGTAAAGGTGGCCGGCAGGCAACTGAGCACATCAACCATCCAGTAACGAGCGGTCTGTCAATATAGGGGTCTAGCATCGCCTACCTAATGCAATATTGACTCATTGCTTGTCTTTGCTTTGAGCACAGATGCACCAGCCTCTGCTCTGTAAAGCACAGGGGAAGCATATGTCCCGTTTTCGCTTGGACAGTGTCGTTTGTACATGTGTGTGTGAGTGTGTGTGTGTGTGTGTGTGTGTGTAAGTGTGTGTGTGTGTTTATGAGCAGATGAATGTGTGCCCCCAACCGCCCCAACCTCCTCCACTCTACTCCCCGACCGTCCGAATAAAATCCAAAATTGTCCCGTTTCATACAAAATCTGAGAATAAGCTCGGAAAAAAAGAAACATGCGCTAGAACAGATACTTTTAATGCCTGCGATGCACTGATAGGAAATTTCATTGTAGCATGTTTATACCCCCCCCCCCCTTTTTTTTTTTCCTCTCCCCTCCCCCCTTTCCAATAGCAGTTAAAGAGCATATTGTTTCTTTTATTTCTTAATTACAGCGATTCGGGGCTTAGTATCAATGTTGAGACAGTAATGAACTCTAGCAAACCACCCCCCCCCCCCCCCACCCTTTTCTCCCTAAAAAAAAAAAAAAAAAAAGGAACGGGGTTAAACTAGTTTGCTTGGGATGTCCAGTTTTGAGATCAAGACATAATGATCACCCTAAGGCAGCAAGTCACCCACCGCAGAAGACTGGAACATGGAAGCTTAGGCAACTTGAGTACCCCCCCCCCCCTTTTTCCTAGAAATAGTAATTTTAGATATTTGTTTATACATATCATATTATGTCAAATATAATATCTACTTGCAATTCGGAACTTCTCATAACATATAACATTTAGATTTTTCATTTTCATTAAATAAGAATTGTCGCCGGAGCTACGGAGCCCGTGCTCTGTACTTGACGGCATCTTCAGTGAGCAGCAGAGAGCGTGAGGAGGAGAAAACGAAGAAATGAGAGAAATGATAGATGACCGGTACCTTCAGTACTGGAACTCTGCACTGGCTGCTGAAGATGAGGACAGCACACGCACTGGAATGCGCTAAGAAATGTGATGTCAATTCTTGACTCAACTCATCTCCACTATTATATTATTTTTAAACAAGACTTAAATTTCATTATAGTTCCCTCACCCCCCCCCCCCCCCCCCCGGCCGGGGCTGCAAAAAAAAAAAAAAGCTATAATGGCGTCAACGTCCCTAACTCAGCCCCAGACCATGCAGTCTTGGTGTACAGTATTTACTTTTCCTAACAGTGCGGCAAGAATACATTTGACGCCCCCAGGTTTTTGCCATGCCATTCTGGGCTGGTAGCCTGTTATCGCATTTGATCTGCCTATGATTAAAGAAGTGCGATTATCGTAAACACATGGCAACACAGATGATTAAACTAGTTCTCTCTCTCTCTCTCTCTCTCTCTCTCTCTCTCTCTCTCTCTCTCTCTCTCTCTCTCTTTTCTCTCTTTCTTTCTTTCTTTCTTTCTTTCTTTCTATCTGTCTGTCTTGTTATGTATGTAGAGAAGTATTGACCCAATGGCTACAAAGGTAGGTTCTCATACGGAACACACGATTTCGATCGTCTGTAGGGATACAAATTTGTTTTCTGGGATCAGCCTTAACATCCCAAGCTGCAAAGTTGGTGCACTAGCCATGCGACTCTCAAATACACAGACTCACCACACACTTTCCTACACAACCAAGTAATAAGTACTGACAGTAAAGACATCTCTCTCTCTCTCTCTCTCTCTCTCTCTCTCTCTCTCTCTCTCTCTCTCTTTGTGTGTGTGTGTGTGTGTACGTGCGTGCGTGCTAGCTTGCGCGTGTGCGAGTGTGTATGCATGTGAAAATCAGCACACTGTGTCTATGATCTAAATCCACGCTTGACTTTGTAGAAGAATTAAATCAAATATTTTATTTAAAAATGTAGCATGGTTTGTTTTAAACGAGGTGATTATTTGTAACCTTTTGTTTATGCGATGTTCCCGCAAAGTTTTACGCTGATTGTTCTAGCTGTACAGTTGTGATTTCTCTCTGAGATTGTTCTTACTCTCTGCGTTTACCAGCCTTGAAGGTTTGGCGTGAAGGAAGGAGGTCTTGAGTTTGAGTATTTTAATCAGCATGACTAGAATAGTCGTCACAAACTGTGCAGGTTGTGCAGCCTCCATTGCGTGACCAAGTTATCTATCCCAGATCTTCTGCGTGGCAAACCGTCGTTGTACGGTTCTGTCAGTTTCGAGGTGTCTATAGAAGTGCAAACTGGCGCAGCCAGACTTTGCATGATGACGGAGAACTTATCGATCTGTCCCCTGTGCTGTTACTTATTCCTCACTGATTACTAATCTGGGACTCTTCTTCTTAACCTTCACCGGCTGTAAACTCCTGTTGGAAGTTCAGGTTGTTCGTCCACTTTTAGACTTTGGTCTTGCACGTCTGCTTTATTGATTTGATTTGTATTTATACAGACTGTTGGTTTCTGGCCTCTCAGTCAGATGCACCCCGACTTCACATGAAACGCCACAACAAGTCGCCTTTCACGACATGCTTGTTGGGAAGTTTTATACCTTCTTCCATCAAAAAAGGGACCCGGAACTCACGCAGAGATAACCTTTAGCGAAAATAGTTAAATTTTACTTTTAAAAAAGAAAACAAGATACAATATTCCACACGTTCTCTTCCAATGTAACGAAATTTACTTAACCGGAAAATCTGCTTTAAATTCGACTGGTCAGGGAAACTGTCAGGTGTAAATGTTGTCAGCCGCACGACCTGGAACCGTGAAACACACACCAGGTGAAATGATGCCAACCTACTACAGGTTGAAATCTGACATTTGATGTCGTTATCTGTTCATTAGCTTTTCGAAACTAATGAGTGTAACAGTAGTAATTCATACCAGCGGTATCGATAGACTGTGAGAATATTCATTTTCTGAACAGATTTTGGATAGCATGGCACATTTCTGGATAATGGAAATCAAGGTTTATTTCAGTGCGCGTGTAATCAATGCAATGTAAAGTGAGTAAAGGACCTTGCCCCACGCCTTAGAACAAATTTGACATATAGGGCTTGACCTACATTTTATAGACCAATCGGCACGGTGGGTGAAGTGATCAAGATTATCCTGACCGCCTTTACTTCCTAGAGTTTACCTTGTACTCAGGTCGACATGTCGCCAAGGTGATATTACGATCAATAGTCTTTACTTTTTCTAGTTTGTGTGAGTGTGTGTGTTTGTGTGCGCGCGCGTGTGTGTGTTTAATAGTCTTTACTGAAACATGTTAACCATTATACAAAACGTGTTACTGAATCTTGGTAACCACTGAGCTAGCCACGGTAGTCAATGGCTAAACGCTCACTAGTTGGCTAGAATATCTTGAGTCGCCCCTAAGTCGATGTTATTATTGACTTTAACTACCAGACAGACCAGTCGGAATTTAGTGGGTGATGTGATCAGCATATGCCGGCCGTCTTTACTTCTTATGACTGTACCTGATACCCACTGAAGGTTAGGTCGACCTGAGAGCCAAGGTCAGTTGCTGAAAATGTCCGGCACCCTCCGGACTCGAACCCACGACCTTTCGATCGGAAGGCAAACGTCTAGCAGCTACACCACAGCGACCCGTTCAATGTAGTACAATGAGAAGTTAAGGCAACCGATGTGATATTGATCAAACAGAGTGCCATTTAATCTAAACAGTAATGTGACTATCACAATATTTCATACGTGCCAAAGGCGTTCAGAGACTCTCTTGTTTGATTTATTTGTGTGACAAACATTGAAGTCAGCATTTACATTTGAACTTTTATGCTTTTTATGCTTGCTAATGACTTGGTGATATTGTATTTTCACAGATTCATCTCAAATAACGAGAGGTTCACTGCGGAAACAAAATGCCAACTCAGTCATTCATCACAACCATGAGTTGTGGCATACATTTATTTCACTTTGAACACCAGATTTCAGATTTCCTCGGGAAACCAACCAGTTATTGACCGAATTCTAATGAGCTGCATTCACAACAGGTCACTTCGTTTTTTTCTTGACCTCAGCTGTAGTATTTACCAGTTCATGAAGATGTTTCCAGTGGACACTAACCAGTCTGTGTGTTCTGTTATCTAGCAATTTCATTGACGCCTCAAGATAGATCAGGTACCACCAGTGTTCTTTAATTAAGGATAAGAAAAGCACCAGTAAATGACAACATATCAATACCACACACGATTCAACAAGTATTATGAAATATGTCATTACTCCATTCGATTACATATTCCAGCATGATTTCATTTTGGACTTGATAACATATAAAATGAAATTCGATGCATAGTGTAAGGAAATAAACTTGTAAAGCTTCTTGATAGACTAGTATCAGTAAGGCTACTTTATACACTGGGTATCGGTAAGGCTACTTTATACACTGGTATCAGTAAGGCTACTTTATACACTAGTATCAGTAAGGCTACTTTTTACACTGGTATCAGGAAGGCTGCTTTATACACTGGTATCAGTATCTGCCTGCTTCGTTTAGTCAGGCGCGCTGTAAATGTAATTCAGGTTTGCTTGTACAAAAGTTAACGAAAGAAAATTGTATCTGACTTAGAAGTGCTTTTATTCTTTGTAGTGTTCAGTAGTTTGAAAAAACACGAATGTAGAAATGATTAAACAGCGAACATAAAACCTGCCGATCCTCACACATTTTAACGGGATTTGTGAAATCTCAAGACTCAGACTTAAGAGAATCAAAGCACTAACCACTAGACGACCTGAACGGTCAATTCCGACACAAACCTGAGAAGTCATTGGTTTTGTCATTGGAGGAACAGTTAGGCAGACATATTTTACACTGTTTGGGGCTGAATATGTCTAAAATCTGAAAATTATCTTATTTAAGAAGAACAAACAGCAGCCGACAAAATGTCCGCCGATCTGGATTCAGTCTTTTACCCTGACGGTGCCACGTTTTACCAACTTTTCAATACCACGAACATCAGCTACGTAGACAGCAGCACATACAGCAGCGTATTCAACGACAATAGCACCATCTTTTTGGAAGCAACAACAGCAGAGCCACCACAGTACTTCCTTCCTTGGTGGCAGCAAGCAATCTTCTACACGATGTTCGTCTTGATGTTCATTGTTGCTGCCGGAGGCAATATCATTGTTATCTGGATAGTTCTAGCTCACAAGAGAATGAGGACAGTGACCAACTACTTTCTGGTCAATTTGGCAATAGCTGACGTCATGGTGTCCATCTTTAACGTTCTGTTTCATTTTATGCTCAACTTATACCAAGATTGGTTCTTTGGTCTGGAGTATTGCAAGTTCGCTTTCTTCATTGCTCCGTGCACCATTTCAGTTAGCGTGTTGACCTTCATGGCCATTGCCATAGACAGGTAAGTGAACTTGTATTCTTTCGTGTTATTTGTCTTGTCCGTTGTGTGCGTTTTATTTTTTTCTCCTTGGTGACTGTTGTGACTCCCTATATCAATGTGCATCTCGGTCTAATTCAGACAGATCAAATGCCAGTTACGGTGCACAATTTTGCTGCAGTAGAGTACTCAAAACATTTGTGGAATAGCAATTTTCAGTCTTTTCTAATAAAGACAATATACAAGGTAGACCCCCGTGAACGTTGCACGCGTTATGTATTCCACGAGGATTGGTATTTGTAAAAGAAATTCAAATAAGCAAGAGATGTCTGGGCGTATATGCTTCATCTGGTGATTATTGGTGCCGTTCCATCTTTGTTCCACTGTGTTGGATTTCAAGCCCATGGCGAGAGGGCATGTGATTGGCAGAATAAACTACCTTTAACCAGAATCTTTCACAATACGTGCAAGAGATTTCCCATTTTACTGTTGCTAACAGGTTTATTTTGCATGTTTTTTTTTTTTTTACACAAAGTCAGACCTATCTACAAACATCCCCCCCCCCCCTCCCATCACCCCCTTTTTTGTCTCGTTTTATCTTACTTTTTTGGGGGTCCATATCACTTCCTGGAAATACAACAACCTCCCATTTTTTTCTGTGTGTCCAAATTTCCTTCTCACTTTTGTTTCCTCAAGGCAGTGCGACTAATGGCAACTTGATCTAATCAGTCCACTTCAGTACCTGTATCATTCATGCCCCAGTAATCGCAGTAGAGGCCGGCCCCAAAATAATAATTCTTGACCCCTTTTTCAACCCATCTTGGTGGCTTCGAGATTTGGTAAGGAATTCCAAGAGAGTTTTCCAGAATATGCTATATTATAAGGGGCTTAAGGTTAGTGGTAGTTTCTTTTTCTTTTCCTCCTCCTCCTTCTTCTTCTTCTTCTTTTTATTATTATTATTCTTTTTCTTCTTCTACTCTTCCTCCTTTTTCTTCTGTCGTTCGCACGACATAGATTACTTGTGCCTGCTATGTTGTCTATAGTATCAAGTTCACTGTCTTGTGTAGTTCACTCAGCGACTCGTAAAGTTTGGCTTAAACTGACGCCGTGAATTTTGGAGAAAAAGGGGGGGGGGGCGCGCTGGTGGCGTTGGAGAGCCCTAAAAAGGACCGACAGTCTCCATGTATGTAAACTTGTGGGTGAGGGTTAGTGTTACTAGCAGCGATTTCAAGAAAATTCACGAAGTCACGAAGCAAGAACACCGCTTCTAAACCAGGGCACAGTGGTGGCGACAACGAACGAAAGTAATACACAGTGGACATAATGATGCAAATAAACGACTAAAACCCCCCAAACAACCAACACCCAACACCTAGAATAAATGAATTGTTGTGTTTTAGTGTTACTGTTAAATGAAAACCGACTAAAACTAACCCGAATCACTCTCCCCCCCTCCCTCACCCCTCCCCCTCACCCCCCCCCCCCTCCTCTCACCCCTCCCCTTCCATACTATAGCATATTCCGAGGAACTCCCTGGGAGGCTAAGAAATCTCGGAACACCCGAGATGGGGTAAAAAAGCAGAAATTAAACAATTTTCTACCAGTCTGGTGATATAAGATAAAATAAGAACACAGGCTGTCCTCTGATTACTTTTGTGATGTAGAAGCAGAGACACTTGGAAGTAGAGTGTGCGATTCTGGCTCAAGTAGCTTGCTTAAATTTCATCGTTTTGGTGGCATGTGTTTTCACATATGACAATATAATATCCCCTTGGTTGATAATGACGTACTAGATCATGCAGAAAGTAAAGCCAACAGAATGATATTACCCCTTGGATTTCTGACTGGCGTGTACACAAACAACGCGCTACCCCTAAAATGCCAAGTGTGTTTCATGCAGTAGACAAGATGTAGTGATGATAATAAGGTTACCCAACCGTGAAATATTGCTTCTGCTTGATTTGTTTTGCATTGAACTTCTTTAATAAATTCCAGCCTGCCGTCATCATTGTGCCCATATACTTGAAAACAATGTTTCGAACGTCCCTTTACCATGAAGCTGTAATTTAGAGAAGTTTCTTAAGTAATTGCCATTACTTCTATTGGAAGAACAACTATACAGTCTAGTAATTTTCTTTCTGGAGGCACGCTCTCTATGGAGGGCGCAATGAAGTCTCAAGCAATTTTAAACTGAGTATATTTATACTCCTATACTGATATTTGTTTTAATAGAACATTTTTTTTTTAAAACTAGGTCACCTGTTATACAAGATAAAGCCAAGGACGTCATGTTGTTGGATACTTTAATTCATGCCGATGTTTTTCTTCAAATTCTTGTTATTACTGTTTAGGATTTTTCTTTTTTCATTCTTTGTATTACCATTTTATTGAAACTTATCAAGAGAGCTATTCCTGGCAACCATGGATTCTGATCTGTGGAGATGTATGAGCGCCTCCGCCAGTTGGCAAGTCACACGGTGATGATGATTACAACTTAGGTTAGGGCGTGGGGGTGTAGTGTCTTTTACATATATTAAAGGGCGCCACCAGAAAAAAAAAAATTAAAAAAAAAAAAACACTGCTCTAGTAAAAGGTAATAAAAAACAAATATTCAAGAATCCTGTTATCAAGTTATGAGGAATAATAGATAATTGGAACTAGCCTCATAATGTTAGCCACATAGACACCCACTCAGTCATATATCATTGTCTACTGGACGTCTTTACTTCAGAGACAATATCTGGGTCCCAGTTTGAGACTTGTTTATTTAGAAGACAGGTGGCTCAAAGGGATCCCTGCCTGGAAGAGAATATCAAAGCATAACCACCACCAAACAGGAAACTATGTTGAACTCTGTTCTACCTTAACTCTCGTCTTTAATTAAGCTAGTTACTAATTACAACCGAAGCCGCCGTACTTGCTCGCCTGCCAACCGAAAGGTTTTCTTTTTTTGCGGTCTCCCTGATACCAGGTTGTAGCCCAGTCAAGGAACGTCAGGGATTCAATTTTGCCTTGACTCCTATATCAACTCAATCTTAAACCAAAAAAGTATCAGGCAATGTCCTAGGAAGAAAATGCGACTGAGTTGATCAACTGGTCTATTAAAATAGTGGAAAAAGCGTCTTTTACCTACCTTTCTTTCCGGAGAGGTGAGTGGGGGGGGGGGGGGTGTTAAGCTTTTGGCAGCAACCGCATTTTTAGCCGCTTATTAACTAAACGTTCTGTACCACAGACTTCAATAAATACATACAGCGTTATCCATTCATATTCCCAAACACCATATTTATTGTCACACTTTATTCCCCCAAGGCACTATTTTAGTTTCAGCAAACCAGTTATTTATTCACACATAATCCGTTAAACACACACAATGAGTGGCATTGCGTGTATAAAGATAGCTGCCTCATCCCCATAATTTCCATGTACAGAAATAGAGAGCACAGAAGGCGTCTAAAATCCCTGATGAAACAGTTCCCCCTGGAACCCCCCCCCCCCCCCCAACCCGCAGTTTTTATCCCCTCCTCCATATGGGGCGGGGTGCTATTGGAAGAGTATAACTGACACAGATTCCTGACTGTATTGTATTTATAAGATGACCTATTTACAGCCAGTCAGGCTTGCTTACCCTTTGTCAGGATGTCACCGTTTTTGATATCTGAAGAAGGGTTAGTGTAGGCGAGTTGTTAAACGCATGCCGGTTTTTCTGTGATGAGTAAATGACTCTTCCCAAGCAATTGGTACCTCTGGCCAAAGATGGTGCTACATCTCTATTTGTATAAATCAGTTGGTGCTAGAAGAATGATGACGTCAACATCGTGCCAACCGCTTTGATTTCCAACGAAGAATTTGGAACTAAATTTAGGCTGGATCGAGATAATGGATAATTGTTATAAAAAAATACCCCACTCCCTTTTTGAGGATTTGAAACCAAGACTTTTGGATCTATAAAAAATAGGTCTATAAAAATAGGTCTAACCCTATATGCCCTATACGCCTAAAGGCGTGTAAAAGGGTCTTAAAAATTATTTTATTTTTACTTTACTATCTTGATGCCCTTGTTGTTGGGAGTAGCCATTGCTCGGGTAACGAAAAAAAATTGGTTTTTTGCAATACTGGCATTGCCTAGGTAGAAAAAAAAACACAAAATTAAAGATCATGATTTCGCGGATGATGTTGTTTAGTTAGGTAAAAATAACACAGACCTGCAGAGAAAAACACACGATTTAATAAATAAGTAATAAGAAAACGAATGTATTATAGATTCCAACAACAGATCATGTAGATGCCATGCTAGACGACAAAACAATAAACGTAACGGACCATTTCACCTATTTGAGCAGCAATTTTGACTCTCAGGGAAACCCAAGGAAAGAAAGTGTGAAACACAATAGCAAAGTGCAGGCTTCGTCAACCTTTGGGAGCGTTTGTGTCGTACTAATGTTACACAATCACTGATGTGCATACTTAAGTGGGCGATATGTTCAATTACAACAAGTAATTAAATAAAATATACTTTGAAAAAAATTATGCCTTTTAATGAATAAAAATTAAAAATGAATTTTTAATCAGGTTATTATATTGCCAATCGTGCCTTTACAAATCGTCCCACAGACACGGGTCGTAAGTTGCCTACTTCTGGTTTAGCGGTTTAGTGTATAACAGGGGCGGCATAATCTAAGAAGTCAGAAACACTGAGCACCCCCTTCCCCCCACTCCTTTCCTCCCACCGGCACCCCTCAGACACAGATTTTTTTTAAAAGATAGGGGAAGGGGTTGCAGTTCCTATAAAATGAGTTAGGAAGGGAGCTAAGCAGCACACAGCCATACATATAAGGTTTCGTTTTTCAGTATTAGTTTATTAGTTTACACATTTTTTATTTTATTTTTTATTTAGATGAGGATGAGGAGGAAAAGGAAGGGGAGGGGAAAGAAAAAATAAATGAAGAAGAAAAAGAAGAAGAAGAAGAAGAAGAAGAAGAAGAAGAAGAAGAAGAAGAAGAAGAAGAAGAAGAAGAAGAAGAAGA